TTAATTTGGCCATCAACTTGCTACTGATCACAAAGCAAGCATAAATCAAACAAACCTCATCAGAGTCATTCTGCACTTCAGTCCAGCAGGTGTGCATCGCCTTGCAATGGATTATCACCCTTTCTTACACCTGCGCACTGGACACCGATGATGTGAAAGGCCTTTTCTTTTTCCATACTGGCTTTTTTAAAATTCGTACATCGAAAATTTCACCTCCTCAAGTCAAACACTTGTCCAAATCAATTCAATACTAGGAACCAATTTCTTACTAGGCATAACAAGTATATAAAACACTTGACATGCTTCATTGGGAGTTGTGTTTATACACAATCCATTAATGTGCACTTGTTTAGGAAAAACTGGCCCTATGAGTAGGACCAAAGTTAAAGGGCTACATGTCTTCCATTAATTGGTAAGAGCAAGCTGCACTTGTAAAATGCATTCATTTATTTTGATCTAGCTTTACTTATTTGCCTACTTTTTTTAAAACAACTTCCTCCACCTCAAACTCTTCACAGATTCTGTAATTGAATCCTCTACCTCCTACCGTGCATGTACTCCCTAGTTTTTATTATACTGGTCTTTCCACATTCACCCAACAGCAAGTCATATTTCAGCTAGAGGAGCTCTTTTCTGACCTACTACCGTTCCTTCATTTAAGAAAAAAAATATTATTATGAGGAAAAGGGCATTACTCACAAGCCTACAGAATGTAGCTTATTACTTGCTATGTTCTTTCTGTGAGCAGTTTCACACTTTGGAAAGAACAGTATAAATTTGTTCACAACTAACCACTACCTTTGTGAGTAAATACCGTCACATGCACACTCTTGTCAGTCTAGCTGGCAACTGAGAATGACATACCAGAAATAAAGCACTTTTCTTCTTGTAAGTACTTCCTGCTTAACAAGTATTTCAACTTATGGGAGAAGTAAGGGTTTGTGAGACTGTGGGTCAGTTATTTCTCATTCCTGAGTTTCACAACTGGGTAAAAACTTAAATAAATAAAAGGATGTTTTAAAGAAAAAAATTAAGATTCCCATTGAAAAACACAACCTTTCTTCTTTTTGTTTCACAGTAAACACAATACTCGATGAAAAAAATGACAGTACAAAAGACTTACATCTGCATATATCATCAGAATAATAAAGCAGCAACAAGGGCATCACTCCCCACCCCCACGTACACACACCTTCCCCCTCCCCTTTATGCGCTTTGGGCGAGCCTAAAGGAAGCACCTCTAATCATAACCAGGTTTTGCACACAGCACCAGGAAGGCAAGGAAAGACTCCAGGGTTGACTAAAGTTCCAAAAAGGATAAAAAATTCTTTCTACTGCTGCCTAATACAAACTGTGGAACCACAGAAAAGATGCCCATTTCTTTATTGGTCACAAATCTAATTAAATACAGCCTCCTCTTTCCCAGACCCCTCATTTAATCAGCAGTGGCACACTATTTCCATTTAGTTCGCATTCCAATGAGCCCCTCTTCCCAAAATTTCAGCCACCACCTTGTCGCGGAAAAAATGAAAACATTTTCTATGCTGACACATATCATGTGATTACTTCCCTGTACTGCTGACGCAAGTATCTAATTTTTCTTCACTCCCACATTGCAATAACCTATACTTTTATATTCTGACCTGACACGCTCTTCTTTTACCATCTGTACATATTTACAACCGTATCTACCTTTACTTCTATGGAAAGTTCAAGACAATGAAGCACTGAGCTTGGTTAGGACCTCTGGGTTGTGTCTACTGCTGACTGAACTATTTATTGCAAATGTTGCAAATAAGTATTTCCTTAAATATTTTAATGGCAGACAAATTTCCAGTATTCGTCCCTAATATAACTTAGAAATACTACATTTTCTTTTGGGATTTTGCACAAATTAGTTTTTCAATATCAAGCACAAATTAATTTTTCAATATCAAGAGATGCATTTAGCCAGACAGACTTGGTTTGTGTGTGTGACTTGGAAGAAACAACAGAGTGCTAGGGGGGTTTTGGCTTCTGTATTTAATAGACAACATCAACATATTTCTGATCTAAACATAGATTTGGAAAACAAGCTTAGAAAAAAATACTGTTAAACTACCAGCCACATTTTTATACAGTAAACTAGAAGAGAAACCAGCATTTACAATACATTTTAAAATAACTGAAATACTTGGTGTTAAATTCCTTCCAAACGTGAAAGTTTGTAACAACAATTCAACAACTACAATATCCTAGAATATCACAGTTACAGAGGGCACTAAGATACTCTATTTTGGGATATTTCACAATGTTTCAAATACAGTCCAGATGCTCACACAGATTCACATATGTCTCAAGGCTGATACACCCAAATTTAGAAGCCAAGTATTTTAGACATAATTCACATAATGGCGGGAATTTTAAAAGCTGGAAGATACCTAAAATGTAAACATGACTCCATTTCGGGTCAATCAAATACCTTTTAAAAATTGCATCAGGACTAGAACTAACAGATGTTTAACTATTTCATTCTGCTTCAAAAACATAGCTAATCAAATGAGATGCAAATCATGATGTCATAATCTTCAGGTTTGTAATAGTAAATAATCCCTATCAAAAAAAATTAATTAACTTAAATGTATAATCTAAATAATACATTAGGATTGCAATCATCAGTAATTCTCTTCTGTAATAAATAGCTGTGACAGCAAGGTGGTCTAATTAGATTTACAGACAGACTGAACAGTTCAATCCAAGAACTTCCACATACGTGTAACACAAATTCCAAGTTATCTGATCTGAGATAGAGCAAAGAAAGTATATCATATATGCTATTAAATTAAGATTTGACAGCAAATTAAATTTACTGTGGATAAAAAAAAAGGGAGTTTTAACTGAAACATCCTTTACTTTGTCTCAACTGCTATGAATATCAGTAAGAGGAAATTTGTTTACAAGTTATAGGGGTAATCTGTTTAAAAGCTTGAATTGCATTATTCAAATCCAGTTTAAAACCCTGTCAGATTCAGTGACTATTTTCTTAGTGTGCCAGGTAGGATTTAGTAGTAAAATATTGAGAATTCAATTCATATAACAACAATTAGGCTGTACTAGCAAAAGAATCAGGAAACAGAACCGTACCACTTAGAACAGCAGAGGTAAGCACGCAGATGTATCAAACTGAAAAGTAAAATCAATTCTCATATCAGGAAATTTCTTTTCCTTCCATGTGACTCTTGCTCCTAGACTAAAAGCACAACCATTTGGACTTCCCCTAAATCAGAAAATGGCATCAGCATCACTGTGATCTCAGGCGGAAGGAGGTGAAATCTCTCTCGGTACCTTGTTGAGCTACCAAATCTTCCCAAAAATTGAACTGAAAAACAATTTCAGGTATCGACGTCATTAGTATCCATTTCAAAAAAAGGGGGGGGGAGAGAAGAGCGAGCACACATGCAGGCAAGAAGCAGCAGGAGTTGATTTTTCGCCCAGTCAAACCAAGTCCAAGAGATTCCTTCCAGCACAAAACTTCCAAATATACATTCATTACATGTTTTTGTACGTTATGCACCTTTTTCAAAATTTTCTTTCAAACACAAGAGCTATCTTGACAAAAGTATGAACTAAAACTTACAGCCAAAACCCTGAGCATTGGAAATAAGCAAAAATGTTTATTCACTTCCAACAAAACACTGCAACTTGTCACAGAAATTCAACGCATATAATCCTCCCTGAGCATTTCAGCAGTCAGATTACAAAGCTATTTTAACATCAGAAGTATATCCAAAACATCCACATAAAGTCTGAAGAAGCATGAGTACTTTGGTACTGGGGTTTTTTATTTCCATGCTAAGGGAAAGAAAGGATCAATAATGAAAGCAGGGTGAGAACTTCTCAGCAAAGAGTTCTCTCAGGACAAAACCAGAGGAAAACAGTTCCTGTTAGAAGGATGGATACTTTATATAAACTATAAATCTACTCATGGCACACATGAGGATTTTGCCATGGCTTTGTGAACTATACACAGACCCAAAACAGAGGAAACCAACTTCAAATTTCATCTGATTTTTATATCAGAGATGGGAATTCATGCTTGCATTACAGTTAGATTTTAAAAAAAAAAGAAAAAAAAAAAAAAGAAGAGTATTTTGTTTAAGTGCCTATAGCTCTTCAGTGATTCCTAACGTATTCTGTGAGGAATTTCACATATTGGTCATTGAAGAGCATCTATACATTGCATGTGTATTTTTGCATTCTTTGAATCAGAAATTCTATGTCCCTGAGGATAGACTGACTCCAGTATCTAAGTTATCTTATTTACACAAAGGAACACAAGTCCTTTTTCTTCCTTGTAGAAAGGAGTTACCGTCCACTAACTTCTTACTGTCTGGCAGCATGTTAAAGACCTTTTAGAGGAAACTACTGTGTGGTGGAAGAGGTATTCAATATTCACAACACCGATGAAAACAACAAGCATTGTGATAAATCAGTTCTTCCTCTGGAGAACCATGGTCACTAGGCAACAGACTGCCCTGCAATCCAGCAAAGCAAGCAACCCCTACAGGGCAGGGAACACTGCCACAAAAGAAAGGCTCACTCATATGTAGCTACCAAACTTTGCTAATGAATATCATATTCATCAGAATAAAATCAGCTGCTGCTGCTTTTGGAGACACAGTCCATGTACAATGTTTATGCTGATTATATTAACATCATGTAGTCAGAATTTACTGTTCTAGATACGAAGAAAAGTTCAAGAAAGTGGGAAAAAACATGGTTCGGGCATCTAGGTCAAGCTTTTATTCCCAATTTGGTCATCAGCTGTTGATGACCTGAGGGAAGTCACCTCACCATGTGTCCCAAACGAGCTGAATTTTAAAACAGATTTAAAACTGCTTACCTGTTTACAGAGCTCTGAAATACATTGAAAAGTGACATATTTTCCTATGAAAAAGTGAAGTGGCTTCACCAGAAGGTGGCACTGTTAAATACATACACACATACTTAAAAACCCTTACCTTCTCCAGGACTGACTGCAGATGGTAAATTGCTCCAGTCTAGGGTCCAGTTGGGGCACGGATGAGGAGAAAACTTTGCTTCAATACCATTTTCCTATGTGAAAGGGGGGCAGAAATTAAGACCCTGATCCTTTAGCCACTGAAGTTGGTAACAAAATTCCCACTGAATTTAATGGCATCAGATCAAACTGTGCAACACTTTCGGCCAAACTGAAACTAAACGGGCAGCTGACTCTACATTATATGGGATTCAAATTATGTATTTCTCTTGTTTTCACAAGTAAGCCCTCTTAATTTTCTTTAGGAAATGCTGTCGGCCTCTATGCAAAAAATGTCGAGAGTTATGGAATGTGATGGAGAGCTTTCTTTAACAAAGCACATTAAGGTTCCCAGATGTCCAAAGCTCTAATCGAATAGCAAAAAGCCAACAGAAACAATAGAATAATGAAGCCAAACATAAAAGCAACTTTTTTTGTCATCCTTCATATAAATATCTTTAAAAGAGGAATACAATATTGCAGTTCAAACAAGAAGTTACTTTGGTTATTCAGAATTATTGATACAGCTTCCAGCAGTCCTATCTTTGCTCAATTCCTAAATTGATCAAACATCATAACAGAACAAAAAAGTAAAATCACTTCTAAGTCAATGCATATCAGACAGAAGACGGGCAAAATGTATTAAACTGTTTGAGGCTGTCAGATTTAGCTTCTGCAATTCTAATAAATTTCACCTATTCCAAATCGAGCAGAATATTACTATTAAAAATAACTCACTAAAGAGCTTAAATTACCATTAACTTAGTCATAGTTGGCCTTGGACCACCTATAAAATGACTGTCTTCATTCTCCTCTTCCAATTCATCAGGAACTGAAGAAAGGTCTTGTAGCTCTTCCTCTGGAGTAGACATCAAGTCTGGAAGCTGGAGAAGCTCCATATTGCATTTGCCAGCAGCTTTCTTTACTCCAGGTACTTTTTGAACTCTTTGATACCAACTAGATATCAGAGGCAAATTTACCAGATTTTTGCCTTGTTTTTTACTGGAAACCTAGAAAAATAAAATTGAAAGGTTAGTTGCTACTGTAAATTTCTTCCTACAAGCCGCAAGAACTCAACAACTACAGAAGGGAGCTTGGCTCCGTGCCAAGCATGCTTACTCATAGCATGATGATGATGCAAAAAGCTAGCTAGTTAAGATCTCAGACCTGCAGGTGGAAGTGCCAGTTGGCTGCTTAGACTTTATCTGCAATTCCCATTTGCTTAATACAATGAAAAGGTTTACATGACCAATTTTAATCCTAATTTCGGTCAGTAACAGGAAAACACAGCTTAAATAATATTCTTAAGTATCTGCTATTTCCTAACAAGGGAATGATCATTTTGGTTGGTAATCACACACAAAACAAACAAATAAAAAAAATAAAATAAACAAACCAAAAAACCACAACAGTAATTCTCAATGATTACCGAACTCTAAGCAAGACATTATGGTACCTGAATGTTCTTCCTTCCCACAGGCACCCTGCAGCCCTTAAAAACTCACCCACTGGCAGCTGTTTTGCCAGCAACAGCAAACCTGAAATACCTTTGACTATGTGGCCACAGCAAAACAGGCAGAGGCATACATTGTCCCTGGTCTTTATTGAAGTCTTTGCACTACATCTGTGACTTTTTTTTTTACACTAGCACTGAACCCCAAGCTTTTTTTTTTCATCATATATTTACTCAAACTTTTTACCATTTTAACTTCATATTTTTATACAAGAATGGTAACTAGCATATTTCTTTTCTGAGTTAAGTATATCTGATGGTGAGATGAAGTAGCCTTCAACAGAAATTAGAATTCTTAAGAAAGAATACAACGCGCATCTTACAAAAAAGATACCCAAATCATATTTTTACACCAAGACCAGCAAATTTTAAAAAGGATGCAATTAGTGAACTGAAGTAATTTTTGTTCAGATTCCCAAATGTATTAGAGCAGTGAAGTTCATCCTCTTACAGGAGGGGCTGTGAAATCTCCATCACTAGATACACTCAAAATCTGACTGGACACAACCCTAGCCAACCAGTTCTAGCTGACCATGCTCTGAACAGGGGAGTTAGACAAGATGATCTCCAGAGGTGCCCTCCAACCTCAACTATTTCAACCTCAACTATTCTGTGATGTTGTGTCTGCTTTAGGCAGAAAATTAAAAATCCAGATTACAGGAAAAGGCAGAAAAGGCCATGCAAAAACAGTGCTCCTCCACATATTGTCCTCAGTGTAAAAATAGGAATCAGTAAAGAACACTTGAAAGAACACAAAATTTCAAGCAGCTTTCTTGCATGCTAGGTTTATAATGTTCTTACAGTAATCACAAGTAATTAGTAATGGCTAAAGGAGCAAAAGGAGGATGAACTGTGTAATTTTAGTATCTAATTCAGTATCCTAATAGTAACCCAGGCAGAAATACATTAATTCAGTTAAGGAAATGTATTTTGGAAAGCAATTCTAAGAGGCACTGTTACACTTCATAACAAGTGTTCTAAATTGTATTTTAAAAAGTGAACAGTGGTTTCTCCCAGATGAAGAACGGAGCTTTTGTTATTATTCTATTAATTTTAAACAGTTACAACTAATAGAAAGCGTAACAAAGCTAACTGCAGAAAGATAACAGAAATGGAATGAGGTAATGAAAAACAACTCTACACCTTCATTATCTTACTTTTGGTAATTACAATTACAATCAACTAGTCAGGTCTCCTCATATTTATTTTATGATACTTCCCAGACACATACCCATTGAAGACTTCATTATTATTCACATCCTAAAGCAAAGTGGAAGCACAACTATAATGATTTTTTTAAACACAATCCAGGAAGTCCACTTATATAAGTGTTAAATAACATTTTAATACAAAATTAAACTCTGGCACTTCCATCAACAAGAGCATTTCAACCCACTGTCTGCAAGAAGCTTTCAGATGCAAGTTATTCAAGTTGGATGATAACTGTAGGAATAAATGTATAATTGTTTAGAACACTTAGAAAACTGATCATTCACCAGAGAACAGAAATAAAGCAACATTAAAAAATAAAGCAAATAAAGCTGGTGGAAGAGCTCAACAAGCCACTTCCTACCATTTATCAGCAGTCCTGGCTAACCGGGGAGGTTCCACACGACTGGAGATTGGCAAACATAACACCCATCTACAAGAAGGGCTGGAAGGAGGTTCTGGGGAACTACAGGCCTTGGTGCCACACTTTGTCACCATTTCCCACAGCATTCTCCTGGAGAAACTGGCTGCTCATGGCTTGGATGGGTGTACAGTTTGCTGGGTAAAAAACTGTCTGGATGGCCAGGCCCAAAGAGATGTGGTGAATGGAGTTAAATCCAGTTGGCAGTCTGTTACAAGTGGTGTTCCCCAGGGCTCAGTATGGGGGCCAGTTGTGTTTAATGTCTGGATGAGGGGATCGAGTCCACCCTCAGTGAGTTTGCAGATGACACCAACTTGGATGGGAGTGTTGATCTGCTGGAGGGTAGGAAGGCTCTACAGAGGGACATCAACAGGCTGGATTGATGGGCCAAGGCCAACTCTATGAGGTTCAACAAGGCTAACTGCCAGGCCCTGCACCTGGGTCACAACAACCCCATGCAACATTACAGGCCTAAGGAAGAGTGGCTGGAAAGCTGCCCTGTGGGAAGGGACCTGGGGGTGCTGGTTGACAGCTGGCTGAATGTGAGCTAGAAGTGTGCCCAGGTGGCCAAGAGGGCCAATAGCATCTTGGCTCATGTCAGAAACCACGTGGCTAGCAGAAGTAGGGAAGTGATTGTCCCCCTGTACTCGGCACTGATGAGGCTGCACCTCAAATACTGTGTTCAGTTTTGGGTCCCTCACTACAGGAAAGACATTGAGGTGCTGGAGCGTGTCCAGAAAAGGGCAAAAAGACAGTGAAGGGTCTGGAGCACAAGTCTGATGTGGAGCGGCTGAGGGAAGTGGGGTTGTTTAACTTGGAGAAAAAGAGGCTCAGGGGAGACCTTCTTGCTCTCTACAAGTGCCTGAAAGGAGGGTGTAGCGAGGTGGGTGTCAGTCTCTTCTCCGAAGCAACAAGCGATAGGACAAGAGGAAATGGCCTCAGGTTGTGCCAAGGGAGGTTTAGATTGGATATTAGGAAAAATTTCTGCACCGAAATGGTTGTCAAGCATTAGAACAGGCTGCCCAGGGAAGTGGTTGAGTCACCACCCCCAGAGGTATTTAAAAGACAGGTAGATGTGGTGCTGAGGGACATGGTTTGGTAGTGGACTTGGCAGTGCTAGGTTAACAGTTGGACTAAATCTTAAAGGTCTTTTCCAACCTAAATGATTCTATGATTCTATTATTCCAGAGCTCTTATGATTTAGGTAAAAATGAAACTGAAAGACAGTTTTTAGGATAATCCTTGGTGCGAGCTAACAAAAATATATTATACATATATCGTTTGTAAGCTGCAGACCACCAGGGCTCAAGGGTGAAAAGCAAATAAATACAGCATTCTCAGCTATTCACAGTACATCTACAGAACAATTTCAGTTGGATTGCTGAAATCGATTAAGCATCTGATCCAAGAATCTTACCATGCCTGGCACCAGGAAATCAAATACAACTGTAAAAAGTTATGCTCTTCTTATTTAAAAAGGCCTTGGAAAAATACAGAAGACTGAAATACACTGAAGTTCATAAAATAGTAGGAAATAATTTTTGGTTTACTACTTTCATTTAGTGTCATCCATACAGAAATTGCTGTTAATCCCCAGCTATGTGATTTGCAAAAGAAACAAAGCAGAGATGAATTAATAACCATTTCTGTAAAATAACTCATTATCTTAACTCAAAGGTAGCCATATTAACCTGCTTCTGGACCCTCATATTGCTACTAACATATAGAAATCCACTGAGGATGACGGCCTTAGTTAAAGAAGTTATAAATTGGACATTTGTCACATATTAATGTTCGTTAGTAACTATCTTGATCTTAGAGACTGTTTCTATGAATGTGACTGACAGCATCTTCTCCAGGAATTCCATTTGTTTTCAAACACCATAAGGCAAATTTGGCAAAACAACTTGCAAAATCAAAATGCAAATACCAACTTGACTCAGAGCTTTTCTTGGCAACAGACAGCAGTTTAGCTATCAATCTCACAGAGTAATTGCAGGAATACTGGTAGCAGGCAACCTCCTTGTATAATTTTATTGTCATAGGAAATAAAGACATAGTCACCATTTCCTTAATTCTCTTCTGTGTGTACATCCTCGTAAACGAAGTACACAGATTGTGCCAAGCAAGGCTCTCACATAGTCTTGCCACCATTTTTCCCACTGCAAAATTGGTTTTGAAGCTAAGCTCAAGTCACTTGCACTACTAAACCCTACTTCTTTCCAGAGATGAGAAAAGGGTTGAGGGAGAAAAGGGGAGGGTATTGTTTTTTAAAAAAAAAGTAAATAAAAATCAAATTTCATGGCTTTATTAGGCTCAAAATGTATTTTGATAGATTTTCCTAATCCAGATGTTAAGATATTTGTACAAAAGCATCTGCAAGATACTGGCACTTACTAGATAAGTGCTATAAAAAACCAACCACCAACATGCACACAGAGAATCTCCTTCTAAGGCCCAGATAAATTTTGTACAAAGTGAGAGATCCACCCCAAAAAATTCAATAACCAAGA